ACAACTTTCCCCTGAGTACATTACAAGGATGGCTCTGCTATCAGAATCACTAGTATAACAGCAGGTACAAAATAAAGAGCCACTGGGGCTGGTCAGTATGGCGATGTTAAGAGCAGACCAGCCAACTTTCCAATTTTCTGTTTGATGGTTGCTACTGCGTATTTGACAAGGTAGCTTTTAAATTGTTTAATCATGAAGAAAATCACAGATTAGAATAAACAATTACTTTATACCTGTACTGTATATTTATTGAACAGGGATCAAATGCACTTTTTGTACAATAAAACACTATGTACTGTCACCCTGGGCATTATGACACTTAACTAGTGCTGGATGCTCATCATGACACACAACATATGCCAATTTTAAAAGTGTAGGATTTGTTAAAAGTTCATATGAATTATAACATTTAATGAAATGATATAATTTGAAATCCTACTGATTTTCTACACAAACTTATTAAATCAGAAAAACCTACCCTAAGAATTCTAGTGCTGTATGTAACTGTACACGTCTGCATATTCTAAGAAAGCTGTTGCTTTAGTTTCTCTACAGATTTTAGGGAATAAAGCCCACAAACCCTTAAGACAAAAAATCATCTTAATTCTGGGCATGTAATTTACCTTCATGGGTAGAAATGATCAAGTGAGAAATACGTAGATAACTTTCTTGCCCTAGTACAACTTTTTCGTCAAGATCTAAATTCAGGATGAAGTAATTTACACAGACAATTGACAAAATTATCAGAATTTGCAACATAAATAATTAACAAGGCGCCAAGCCAGGAAGACTATGTAGCACCATTAAAAGTGTAGGATATTCAAAAGGTGCTGAATATCACTAAGGATGCCAATACAAGAACAGAAGCACACAAGAAAAACGATATCAAAGGAATCCGATTCACCAAGGATTCAATCGAGGGACAAATGACCGTGAGGGACAGTTGAAAAGCAAGGCACGCACATCCTGGAAGTTGGGACATTCAACAAGGATATGCACGATCATTAGTGGGACATTGCAGTTTAGACAATAAGGAGTAGGGCAGCACTCCATTAAGTGCCCGTGAGTTAAATGTGTATGGACAATAAGTAACCTTACCAGAGCTGTTTCCCACTGCCAGTTACGGTAGGAGGAAAGCTAAGGGATCACACACCTCTTAAGAGCATGCAATTTGTTACCAGTAACAGAAGATCCTACCAACAGGCACAGATTGAGGAATGAATGACTGAGTATAAGTTGGAATAAGGAATGCCTTAGCAGGAAATGGGACAAGTATGGATAGCTTCCTTAGCTCCAGTGTCTGCACACTCATCTGAGGAAACACCAATATGGCTGGGAACCCAACAAAACTCTACTGTCTTAAATCTGCTGGAGATTAGAAACAGCCAATGTTGAATTTTGACTACCACAGGATGGATAGGATTAAATGACTCCAGAGCCATCAGGGCACTGTAAGAGTCAACTCTGATGACAAAGGAATGTTGACTGCAAAAAAGCAGTTGACGAAGAGCATACAAAATTGCATAATGTTCTGCCGTGAAGATGCTAGTCTCCAGGGGCAGGGAACACACACAGGTGTGGTCAGGAAATACAACGGAGTAGCCTACACTGTCGGCAGACTTAGACCCATCTGTGAAGATGGAAATGTGACATACTTAACATAATAGTTTCCCTTGAAAAGCTTCATAGAAAACACCGACCTTACCTAACCTACTTAGTATGTTAAGATAAGCATCTTATTGCTTCGTAATTACAATTATTACCTAACCTATAATAGGTATAGGTTAAGTAATAATTGTAATTACGAAGCAATAAGATGCTTATCTTAAGATACTAACAAGGTTAGGTAAGGTCGGTGTTTTCTATGAATCTTTTTAAGGGTATCTATTATGTTTAGTATATCACCTATGCACGTAGTTAATAAGTCAATATTGACTTTACGAATTTACGAGAACGGGTTGCAACGGAGTGGGAGCGTGAAGCGTACAAGGAAAAGGTAATTAAAAAATTTGCAACATAAATCTATAAATCTAATTGCCACTAAATTTAATCTCCTGCTGTCTTACAAAACAAGCAAATTTTTAACAATTAAGTAAAACCCAGCAGTAAAAATTGTTTTGATAGGTTAAGAAATAAGTGGCTTATAGTAGCTACATATTCAACTTTCTTTCAGAACTGAAAAATTGGGTTGTGTCCAAGAATGTTATTTCATCGAATGACACCTTGATTCTTCTGCAGCCTTGAAGTGGAATTTCACATACCAGAGAAACACAGAATCTATGAAACACTCGGAGATTACAATATACTCTTACCAATATTCGTTTCAACCCAAACTGAGTCAGGGATGCAGAGTAAAATCCCTCTCAAATGGAGATGTCACACAGGAAGAAGCTCCCAGCACCTACACATGCAAAGAAGTTTCCTCGTTTAGAAAACTTGTGCTTACTGAATAAAAATCTAAAGTCATTTATCTTGTGAAAGCTATAAGACAACCTGTGGGGGAAAGAAAATGGGGTAAAAAAAAACAAAGACGAGAATAGGGTGTGGTGAAGAGCAATCCTTAATTTCCGTAAAAACAAAATTAATGGCATACCAAAAGCATGTAGCTAGAGAAAATTCTATACAACAGAAAACATGCATCAAGGACAAACTTATTTTGTATCAGATGTACAACAGGTCAGGATTTTTTTTGTAGTCATGTCAAAAGATCACAGAAAATAAGGTCAATTGACATTCTGTCAATCGTATAAAGCTTCACTTTATCTGCCTTTTGGAAATATGGCATATACAAGTGAGTAGAGCTTTTATAAAAATTGCAAAAATAAATGTATCATAAAAAGCCATGGAATCTCAAAATATGCACAGTGGCTTTGTCTATTTCCTTTTTACTGCATTTTAATATTAACACAATTGCGTAATTCTTTTGCCTGAGTGTACCTAAGTTTTGAACAACTTCAACCTTTAATGTTCAAAGCACCTATACAGTATAATATTTACTATTATTATTAAACTTTTTTATTTTTTTAATTATCACTGGACAACATGCATGTTACTTCTAAACGTTGCATATATTACTCTGTACAAGAAACATTCACACATATTACCACCCATCTTTTCGTCCTGTATTTATAGCCTTATTCCACTAATTTTCCTTAATTAATATATGGTTGCAAAACCTAGCATTAACAGATTTATGTGTTATTCTTGATGGCAGCACCTTCAAATACTTTGCACTTTTTTTTTTCCCACACACACATTAGTCAGTCAACAAAGTAACAATGTAAGGTCCAATTGATGCCTGCTTCTTTTGTCATGCATTGAAAGCAAATTGCTTCATGACAAATGAAATTACGGTACACACAAAAGAATTTCTTCAAATATTTCATATCTTATAAATATCTAAATGGTACTGTTCATGTGTTTCACATTATGTTCTTGAATGAATGATACTATAATTTTTTATGTTAAATCTCACACATGGCACATGTATATTATACATATCTGCAATCTAGCATTCATATTTTTCTTCCCCTAAGCAGGCTGCTTGGGCACTTCTCTATCACTTTTCCAATCAATAAAATACACTGCAGGAACATATTTTGTTTAATGTACTGACTGAAATCACCATAACTTATATAGCTAACAACATACTGAAATCTTCCACACCTCTATAATACTGTATGTTTAAATATCTTTTATGATATTTAAATCAGATCTTCACTTTATTTTGCTCGTTTTGTCATTTACCCAGTGTGAAATCAGAAGATAAATTAATTTTGTTTTATCTTTGGTCAGGTGGCTGCTTTAAGTAAACCAATGGTATCCATAATTGTTTCCCCTTTCAATGTTTTAGTGTGTAAGGCTTCCCAAGTGCTTCAGGTTATGATGCTGGTGAAACCAGTGATTATTTCTCTATAGGTTTGTGAACACAGTACTAAAACTGGATCACTATTAACCAGCAGGAAAGGGAACAGAGACCCAAAGTGGATTACCTACGGAAACAAAATGGGCAAAATTGTTTGTATTAGATACTGCAATTATCTTTGTAATTTGAACAGCAATCTTCCTCACAAGTGGCACAGATATTGAACGATTTTCAACATTGAGTTTGTGCTCAGAAAAGTGATTACAATATTGTGGAACAATATGATATAGCATTTGGTGTTTTGCCTTTAACATACAAGCAAATACTGTATGCCAAAGAACACAATTTAGAATTTCAATTTAGTTTATTCTTTGGCCCACCATGTATGATCATGTATACATGAGGAACTTCAATAAATATAGTTTACCATTGTATTGTATTCTATGCAATATATTACTGAAGATTAGTTGTTTGATTAGTGCAAACTGTTAGGTTCTCTATACAGTATATTTAATACTTCAAGAATTTCATCTGCCTGCAACTGAGTATACATCATTAGTTTACCAAGAAGAGTACAAATGCTTTAAGCATTACCATCGCTTGATCAATGTTCACTAAATGAGAGGTTTTCAGTCTTCAAAGACACTTCTAATATGAGCTTTCAGTAAGAATATACTAAAATAAATGTTTATATTTTAGCCTATTTACTGTGGCACACCCGAGGTCAACTTCTCTCACAACTAATCTAAGTTACATGTTAGTCTCTTTTTAGTCAGGAGACTACACTCTTCCTCTTGGAAAAGTAAACGTAAGGAACTAGCTTCAGGAAAAATAACATATGCATGTCTCATTCCAATGCATAACCAACAAGCTCCTTAAATATATGGAGCCAGTCAAATGGCCAGTCATAATATTTTCAGACAAAATATAGTGTTACAAAATAATGCTTAGAATTCCCCTCCCACCCAAAAAAAAAATATATAAGCTTATGTGCAGGCGATGAGTCACAATAACATGGCTGAAGTATGTTGACCAGACCACACACTAGAAAGTGAAGGGACGACGACGTTTCGGTCCATCCTGGACCATTCTCATCGACTTGAGAATGGTCCAGGATGGACCGAAACGTCATCGTTCCTTTAACTTTCTAGTGTGTGGTCTGGTCAACATAACCTTATGTAATTATGGATCAGATCTGCAATTTGGAGGTGAAGACAATTTTACGAGTATTTGGTAAGGTAAGAAGCTGGCACATATCCTTGATTACCAGCACGATCCTCCACAAACCACCAGTCTGAAGATTTGGCATGTAGAACCAGCACCACCTGGCCAGCTGCCAAATTCAGTTGAGTGGGATCAGATCCACCAAAGTTGTATAGAGCATAATAAAACTGGAAAAAAAAAAAAACCAAAATCACAAAATGCGACATTATTGTTTATTATATATGGAGCAATTAGTTTCTGAACATTAAACAGTCTAATTTGAACAATTTAGAAATTAAATACAGTAATTCTATATACCAAACTGGGAAAGAAATTTGTACTTCTTTTTGTTTAATACATGAACCTGCAAACAACATTCAATATTTGTATGACAGTTAAGCAAAAGGATTAAATTCTATTTATCCATACTATTTTGTGTTATAGTTTGTGAACAAAAAAAAATATCAATCTAATCTGACTTCCAATCAAAATTTTCACCTGAGTCTCTTCAGCTTCTAATCCAGGTAGAAGACCTGGCGCTGTATCAGCATTTAAGCAAGAATCTTCAACCAGCTGTCCATCTTCAATAACTTCATAGATTGGACTACTTTCCTTATCGTCCACCTCTTGACCAACTCCACCACACGCTATGCCCTGAGGCCCAGAAATATTCAAATTTGTATCTTGCAGTACAATATAATGATTAAGTTAACTGCACATCAATAAGAATGCAGTATATAATTTTGATAAGGAGCATTACATAAGACAGGACACATGGAAATTTCCAAATGCTCTACCAACAAATTTTTAATCTTAATTCTGTTATCTAACTTGCATGAAATAATCTGAAAAGCTGTTTTTACTAAACAGACTCGTGAATCTGGCCCCAGATCTCTTCAGGCAAATATGAATTTACTAAGCTAATATTTTTGGTAGTTTTGAGGACAATATGACAAAATTTGAATAAGCATCTCTATCTAAAACCATCATTCCAATTAAATGAAGATATGAACATGTCAAATTTAATAAGCTGATTATCAAGTTATGGCTTACTTGGTCAATTTCTTCATATATGTTGTTGTCTTCAGAGATAGGAGAGTTGTATTCATTTGACTGTCGTCTATCCAAAGGTGGGCTGTAATATTCGCTCTCGGATATTTCTGAATAAAAGGTACTCCTGGATGATGGTTCTGGGTAACCCGATTTAGGTGGCAAGGGAGCCTGAGTTAAGGGACCTGGAGAAGATTGACCAATTGAGTAGCAGGGTGGGGGTGCCTGCTGACCTACTGTCGGGTAACCTTGTGAGGCAACTCCAGCACCACCAGACGAGCTAGCAGGGAACAAGTCTTCATAACGTGGGGGACGTTCTGGTATGGGTGGCGTAGGGGCAGCACGTGGAAGGGTTGAAGGTCGAGGAGCAAGGGCAGATATACCAGGTACATTGGAGGATGCTATGGTGTGTTGAGTAGCAGATGGCAAAGCTGTAGCTACACCCATTCTGTTCTCCTGTCCTTGAAGGGGTTTCAAAGATGTCGATCTTGCAAATCCTTTATTTTCTGCAATAATTACAATAATTAGTACATCAAATGCAACAGATTAAATATCAAAGTATTTGCATTCCATACTTGAAAACACAAGAGAAATTTAGAGAAGATTCAGAGGTATGCCACCAGACTAGTCCCAGAACTGAGAGGTATGAGTTACAAGGAAAGGGTACGGGAACTAAACCTCGTGTCCCTGTAAGCCAGAGGAGTAAGGGAAGACTTGATCGCCACCTACAAAATTCTCAGAGGAATTGGAAGGGTGGACAAAGAAATTATTTAGCATGGGTGGAACACAAACAAGGGAATACAGGTGGAAACCGAGTACCCAAATAAGCCACAGAGACATTAGAAAGAATTTTTTCAAAATCGGGGTAGTTAGCAAATGGAATGCATTAGGCAGTGATGTGGTGGAGGCAGACTCCATACACAGTTTCAAAAGTAGATATAATAGAGCCCAATAGACTTAGGAATCTGTACACCAGTTGATTGGCAGTTGAGAGGTGGGATCAAAGAGCCAGAGCTTAACCCCTGCAAGGACAACTAGGCGAGTACAGTAAGTTCTTGGCGAGTTTTATTTTTCTAACTTAGTTTTAATCTTAGTATCTTGCCAAATGCACACAAACTCATGAACATACAACTTTTTACTATGGTATTACAATGCAAAGAAATATGAGTGCATCAAAATTCAGCATGCACATACAGTAGTATACAAACAGTTGGTAACCTACCTCCATCATCTACAGACCAGCGGTCAGAGCGGCCGAGAGGATCTTTGTTTTTAAGGAGGGCGACATGGTCCCCAGGATACAGAGTGAGCTCCATCACCTCTGCCGGAGTGTGAACCTCAGTCACCACATAGATCAGTTCGGCTGGATAACTGCTCAGAACCTTTTTCTTCAATGACTGAAATATATAAAATGATTTGTGTGCCAAAGATACATATTCATTAAGTTTACCAAATTTCAATGTTTTCTGCTGGCTCATAATGTTTTTGAAATATACTAGTACCACAGAGTACTTGAAACAGCACTAATGTAATTTTGTCAAGCAATTAAGTAATTATTTCATATCACAACTTGCTAAACTTGGACTAAATATTTTTGTTTTAGATTTTTTTTAGGGGGAAAGAGGGGAGTGGGCGGCAAAATTACTATGCTTTTCTCTGATATATGTGAAAGCGCCAAGCCATTACAACTATATAGCACTATGAAGGGATCAGGATAAGGATTTGAGATGGGACGGGTTGGGCAAGTGCCCAACCACTTGCACGGTCAGGGATTGAACGCCAACCTGCATGAAGTGGGACCGTCGCTCTACCGTCCAGCCCAAGTGGTTGGGCAAAATAATCCGGGATCTCGGAAAACTGGTGAACCCCAAATTGAAGCAAAATGAAACTATTTATGCAACACACAAAAAATACCATCTATATCATTGTAAAAAACACAGGCATGAACATCTTGATCATATGACAATTTATGCATTTTAATAGAACTTGCACTGTAATGATTAGGTACCCAAGAGTGTCATGAACTTAAGTGGCAAAGCCATCATGTTTGGTTGTTCAGTACCCAGTACTGTTACTTGTTTCACCTTTATATTTTATGGAACATGTTGTAACTATATGTTGGAGGAATTCATAATTTAATGCAGTATATTATACCATAGTAAGTAATCTTCTTGAAAATGTTTTCAATTCAATAACATGGCATTTCTTTGTTTAAAACCTTTAACTACTGTTAGGTTTATAGATATGCATCATACACAAATATATATTACTTTGCATTGAATAGAATCACATTTGGTCTAAGTTTATATAAGCAATTGATATAATTTACTTATTGCTGACTTCTGACTTACTTAACTACAGTCATAAATACAGCTACCCATACTAAATACACTATTCAATCTGTATAGTTATACAATACTGTCTTTACCTCTTGTTTCTTAGGGTAAGCATGTAGTGATAGTCAATACAACAGCAACATCAATAATACAATATCAATCATTTTTAGTGTTGTTTAAAGGTTTAATAACTTCATGCATGCAGGAAGTCAATATATATTTTGGGTTAAGATTCAGTATATGCCATCTAATTACAAATGCAAGAAAATGTATATATGATACAAATACTGTACAGACATTCATCTATTTCCTCTACTTTTTGTTGCGCTTTTAGCAAATCTCGACTTACCTCACAAGCCTCTTTCTTGAGTTGGGTATTATCCAGACTCTTACGCCCCCGAGGCTTTGCTCTAGGCAGGGTTCTCTGCAAGGTGTCGGCAGGGATGAAACTCAGCTGTCGGAACTCTCCCATCTGCTGCAAGTACTTTACACGGAATTGGGCCAACATGTCTTCTTCACCAGTATATGCTAGCCCAGGAACCTGTTTAAAAGTTTTAAGTACTGTACATACAAAACTGTAAATATCAGTGCCACAAACTTTTAGCATCTCATGCTTACATTTAAAAAAATTTTTTATGAAATTTCTGAAAAAAGATATGACAAAGAACTGTAAAAGACTATATAAGCAAGGTGATTACCAGTAATTACAGTACCATTACAAATCAGATTACAGATTAAGTAGAGTACAGCTCTATTCCTGTAACCATTTGTAGTTCCAGGAACAAGGCTATGTTCTCAATGATCCATCTTTCTAAGCTGGTTCATTCACCCACTCCATAACATATGTTCTTGTGTTTAAAGGACAATAATAATGGCTTATTATTGCACAGTCAGGCAGAACACCCAAACCATCTTGGAATGCTCTCCTCAATATTGCAGTTTAGAGAGTTTTATTATCCATATCTTTCTATGGCATTTTCATTCCTTAACTTAATCTCATAATACCACACATGTTTCTCAGTATTAATTTCCACTGCTCTAATTCTAAATTGTTCGCATTCATACCATGTCATCATCTAGCATCCATACACAAAAGTTGGCACTACATTTTCAAGCAGCTCTCTGGGTGCATCTCTGCTTACCTTCATTTTTTTCTATCCAGGGCTTTCATTGCAGGAGCCACATTCCTTTGTTACTTACCCCTTGTATTTCCTTTTTTTTATCAATCAAAAATTTTAAGTGTTTATACTGATCAGCCACAGCTAGCACTTTTTTGCATTTTACAACTACATTAATATCAAAACAGTCACTCATTACGCCATAAGCTCTGACACACTGGTTCCCAAGTGGGCCACACTCGTGGCCCACTTGAGCCTCACCCATCCTGGTCCATATGAGCCTTATCCATCCTGGTCAACTTGACCCTTACCCACCCTGGCCCCCCACAAGCCTCACCCATCCTGGTCCACATGAACCTTATCCATCCTGGTCCACTTGAGCCTTACCCATCCTGGTCCACTTGAGCCTTACCCATCCTGGTCCACTTGAGCCTCACCCACCCTGGCCCACACGACCCTCACCCATCTTATATTCTTTCTGTTACAATGGATAATTTCTTGATCAAATTAGTCAATAAACTATAATACTACTGTGCTGATGCCAAGGAGACCATTAACATACCAAAGTAAGAAACCAGCAAGTGCGTGTGTCAGAATAGCTGGAGATCAGATTCGTATTGCAAAGGCACGATACGAGTGACTTCCTCACTGTGTCACATCCGAGAGTGAACTGAGAATCTTATTCAGAAGCAGACCAGTCATCATCTCCACACCTTGACACCATCAGATGAATGGGTCAAAATTCTACAACCTTAAGAAAGAGTTTCATTCAAAATAGTAGTCACTAATATTTTGCAAATATTCTCTAGATTATGTCACAGCCTTGAAGACAATTGACAGAACTCAGAAAATGTATTACAGTGAAGCTTTAACTGTATTTATATTAATATATAAAAAATTGCCTTTAGGATTATTTCATTTTTATAGTTGAGTGAAGCATTTTGGGAGGGACCAACAACTGGTGGAAAACAGCCACTACCCTTCAATCACTTTGGCAAACGTCTTCAGAGAAGTTGAGTAAGATTACACAACTAAAAACAATAAAAGACTTTCTAAACCATTTAAACCAAAGTCTGTCATAGCAATTGAAAAATTTATATAATTAAAAGGATTGGCATTGTCATTTTCACAACAAAATGAAAATAAAGTAACTAGACACAAGCAGGATAAAGCTCCTAATGTAACGGCACCCAGTAAGACTGACATACAGGAGACAGAGAGAGAGAGAGAGAGAGACAGAGCAACAACAAAAGTGCTCTCCCAACACTGGCCTCAGCGGATCTATGACCTTCAAAGGGATTAAATTGACTCGGCCGAGAACTGCTCACCTCGCCTCCCCTTCCAACATTAATTTCCACTTAACCTCCTCCACAGTTGTTCCCTTAGAAATATATCAAGCTTTTAACAAAAATTTTAATTGCATTTATGGTGCAAATTTAAATGGAGCTTGAAATAAACACAGATATTTAAAAAAATCAAAATGAAATTTGGAAGGTTTGTGAAATCCATGATCTACAAATTTAGAATGATAAAAACTAGCATATTTTATATATAAAACAGTGCATGGGCTGTTCAACATCTTGCAAAATAAATTATAACTAAATTAACATTATTTCTACCAGCAGGACAAAAAAAAATAAATAAAAAAGTAATAGTAATATTACTTTTTGACCGAGTCAATCCATTCATGCATTTATGAAAAAATAGAGCAATGAGTGGAATGAAATCCCCTTTCTCAGCAATATCTTGGTAGGCAGGCGATGAGTCACAATAACGTGGCTGAAGTATGCTGACCATCACCACATAAATTTTTTCAAAAATACTATCTTTCATTCTCACTTCTGTCACCCCACAGAATTACCAAAGCCACAATAATGTTTTCAAACTTGAATTTCACACATAAGCACCTTAAGCTGTGCAAGAAGCCATTCATTGTCCCATTGTCGTCATTCATAAACAAGCTACGCCTCCTTTACTCCTCTCTTTCTCACTCCTGTTCTTATAATTCTTATCCCACTTGATTCTTACTTCCTCTAAGCTTTGTGTCTAGGACATAAAACACTCGTCTTCTTTTGCTTATTTTAGTTAATAATATCAGTTAATATTATAAATATATATATATATATATATATATATATATATATATATATATATATATATATATATATATATATATATATATATATATATATATATATATATATATATATATATATATATATATATACATACATACATACATATATACACACACACACACACACAAAGTATATATATTAGTTAGCACTGAAATAATCACATCGTGCAGTAGATACATTACCACTAATCAGACTGCCGCTTTGACTGCCCTAAAGCTACATCACACCTTTGCCACTCATGGGTGGATTGACTGTACCTTACATACACACATATGTACAGTACCTGTGAACCAATCGACACACATGAAATACGTGTTGGTTGGGTTATTGGTTTCAGTCACATTATTTTGAGTTTTTGTCTGCATACATATCCAAATACAAATACATGTACAACATACCGAAACAAAAAATTCCAAGATATGCATTAACTACACTAAAAGGTATTCTATTCACCTGGACTCAAAGAGACTCGAACCGCGGACCCCACGCATGTGAGGCTGAAGCTCTATCGACTGTGCTACTGAGTAATCGATAGAGTTTTAGCTTAACACGTGTAGGGTCCGTGGTTCGAGTCACCTAGAGTCCAGGTGAATGGAATTTTTATTTCCACCAAAGTGTGGATGACAATTAACTAAAAGGTATTATAAAAGTTATTTGAAGTCCCTTAAATTTCTAAATGAAAACCCTGGATCACTTAATTTCAAATGGTATTAGACATTAATTTCTTCAAAACTAATGAAGAAATACATTTAGTATAGGAAAACTGGGTTTTAACATTTTTGTCCATGGGAACATCGTGAATTCTTGATAAGCTTACCTGAGCCAGGCGGAGGTACTGCTGAGCCAAATGTCCCTGGAGATACATACGAGCAGCGACAAATGACCGTGTGGCGAGAATCATTATTTCAGTCCCTAAGTTGGTTAGTACTGGCAAGTCCATCATCAGCTGAGTATTGAAAGCGTCATATGTTCCCTTTGCTATCAGCAACTCTTCCTCAAGCTGTCAGCAAGAAAATACCTTAAGGATAACATAATAAAATAAAAATGTTCACAAGTTGAAATATGGAATTATTAATCTGAATGCAGCATTACTACTGCTGATCATTTATCCAGCAATAAATACGTCAGAAAAATAACTTTCATAATAAACTAACTGAAGGTGTTTACCAATTCATGTGATGCACCCAAGTTAAGGTATCAATCAACAAAAGATAAACAATACTGTATATAAAAGTGCTTCATTTACAATTCTCCAGCATATATAATACTACTTCCCAGGTTTATTCAATTTGTCTTTTATCATTTTTGGCAAACACTTTTTGTTTATTTTTACACAATAGCTCCATCTCGGTAGTGAGTTAGGACATAGTTACTTAACTATAAGGCACTTTTTATCAGTAAAAAATATAATGACAACAACGAGCTCAACTTACAATTCTAGTCCGAGTAGGGTCCCTGTTTCTATCCAGCTTATATTGCGCATTATCATAATCCAGTATCTTGTCATTTCTTTTAAGGATCAGTCGCTCTGGTACCTCGCACAAGCAAAGCAATTGCTTAGCCGGCATAAGTATGCGATGTTTCACAAACTTGTCCTGATGATAAAAATAGCGTTGAATATAATGAAATGACCTTTTCTAGTGTACTCGGTACCTCTATGGCTGTATCACTGGGGCTGCCAAGCCATAGGAAACTGTATTAAGCCTCTGAGGCCCACTCAAGTTTATCAGGACCAGAATCTGGCTCTCTCTGACATGAGGGGAGTTTGGGAATCAGGGATCAACCCAAAACACAGAAATAAAATGACAAGTATAAGCACATCAAGACAAGCAAAAACTTGGAAGGATATGGGTAACCATAAGGAAAACAAGACAATCAATCATTCCCACAGATTAAATACCCCAGCAATGATGCACTAACCACTAATAGATGACACCCTGGGTCACCCAGGATCATTATCAGCCATTCCCAAGCCACATGAACAGAAATCCTCCCAACACCTATGGGGAAGAAGAAAATAGGTTAGCGATGGGAAGCTACCGAGTGGCAACCGAAAAAGTGTTTTTTATGATTGATTTCAGGAAAAGCCCTATATCTAACATTGCCATGGCAAACGAGGCCAGCTATTTTGAAAGCAAAAAACAAAAAAATAATAAAATAGTTAAGACAGACTGATTATCCTTGCAAAAAAGACAGCAGGAGAGGAACACCAGGAGCAGAGCATCGGCATTGCATCCAATGTTCAAGTGCACCACAAGTATGGCAAGGCCAAACAACATACACCAAGTAGCAGAAGGTCAACAATCAGTTAGACAGCCAGATGCCCCAAGCCTGGGTATTTGCCAAGACCGCATAGTATTGGCAAAGAAAGCAGACAAAGCTGCAAACTTTGGCACATCAGACGGGTGGGAATAAACTGATGGCTGACTGAGCCAAACCGCCCTCTGGATGACGTGGGAGAGATGGGCCTTCGAACAAGATACCCGAAACCAGGTAAATAAAGCAAGAGTAATATGCAAATAATGCCACCCTGCAGCCACAGGACAATGTATGATGTACCCTTAACCAAACAAAACCAGGCATCGATGGCTAATACACACCAATAGGCATCCTGAGAATCCAGGAAAACAAACCACGAGCTGTTCAAAACCACCTGAGACAGGCTGATCATTCAGGTGAGACAGAAAGGCATGTACCCATTGAGAACAGATAGATCAAGAATGAAGTGAGAAAACCATAGCATTTCACTACGAAACTGGTAAGAATTGAGACACCCACTGCAAATATAGGGTCACTGAGTACACCCATGTTTAACAAATTACAAAGAAAATGGCAGAGGAAAAGGAGGCAAGAAACTGCCCCACTGGACTGACAGTAGCAAACCATGAGGCAGTGAGGCTAAGCAAACTCCAGGATAATCCAAAAATAGAAATCCACCAGGTAGTGAGATATACAGAAGTCTGTCACTGCATTTCACAGATGCAGAGTAAACAGTTTGGGAACAGACTCTATGGCTATAACTGCAGATAACAGGACAGAGGAAGAGGAATCCCAGACAAGGACCAAGAAATAACTCATAACCGTTTTGGTTCATTAGCTTAGAAAAAGAGCTAATGCACCAACAAGAAACAGAGTACTTTTGCCAAGTGGGTGCGAACCTTACAGTTCAACGTAATCAACACTGAAGGCAACTCGGGTACCTGAATGGGAGCCATAATGCCCTGAACTGGCAGAACAGGCAAGGTGCATACTGGACAAAGTTTACACAGGAAGAGCCTTCAAGAAAAATTTGAAAAACAGGAGCAGCATCCTTCGACTCAGATGCTTTCCCATGATGTTAAATGGCGAGTGAGTAAGGAGCAGTCTGATTGGAACTACAAGTGATTTGGACTGCTGCATGGCACCAATCAGGTGCATCACAATTAGAATGTTTACTCTCCAGCAAGGATCATTTGTACCATTATCACTGGGTACCTAATTTTCTTCACAAGCAGTTGCTTATTTTGTTGTGTTCATGCTTTCTGGTGGATGTGTTTTCTTCAGTTTTGAGTTTATCTCTGATCCTGAAGCTTCCCTCTCCTCATAGTGCATACCAGATTCTGATCCTGATATGCAAGGGAGGGCCTCAGAGGCCTGATGCATCATCTTAAGACACAACTGTCCATATGCTTATCTTGGGGGAGCTACTGAATCGGCCCTACCAGAAAAAAGTGCAAAAGATTTGCTCTAGGCATGGAGGAAAGTTGTATTACAGCAATTATAATCAAACACAAAACTTTTATCTAACCATTTCTTCCAGTTCTGCACTGTAATAACACTTAAAGAAATTTATTATTGACATAAACCTGTTACAAATAAGTTCTCTTACCCCCCCCCCATGTGTATTGCATCTATTTCTCATTTAATATTAGTTCTGATTCTCAAAAACATTTTGTTTGAATTTTATAAATGACTTTCAATATTATGGTTAAAATTAGATCTCTTAACCACGAACTGAATCACAAAGAATTCTTTCATCTTATGAGGGACTTAAATCAAACCTTTCCAAGCTGTCTTTGATCTTGCACAATTTCAAGCAACCAATGAGATATCCTTCTAATTGCATCATTCCCCACTTATAATGCTACCATTTCAGTTATTTAAAAGCTTAACCTCACTCCATCTGTTTCCTTTCTTTGTATTATTATAAATAATTTGAACCAAAACTATACTAATGGCTAATAAGCATAATGCAACAGTAGAACTTGACTTGAGGCTAACTTAAAGCTACCTCAAGGTGGTTCCGAGGCTCAATATCTTGCAGACCTGCCTATGATCGGGCCTCCTGATTGATGATCTGATCAGCCAGATTGTTAGATGCTGCTCCACACAGCCTGACATGAATCATAGCCATTATGATCAGGCATCAGGTTAAGTTAGACAATAGATGTTCAATAAGTTACTTACAAACATTTCAAACAATCTATTGCAAGAGTCCGATGCTGCTCTTAGAACTGCATCAACCTCTGGAGTTCTTGCTGTCTGATGCAGTGTGGCTACCAGACCCTTAGCCAGCTCCAGTTCCGCCCTGTGGCGAGCTTTTATCCCCTGCAGCACAACACCCACATTTTGTGTCACGGCTAACGCAGTCCTCTGCACGCACCGCAACCTTGCTACTTCTTCGTCAAATTCTGGATCCTTAGTCTGGACCAAGGTAAGAGGGCAAATGATGTACTGTATATAAAATGAATTATAATAAACAAATATATAATCAATTATTTACCTGGTATTCAAGTACAATATTAATTATAAAATTATTTATTTTGCAACTTATCTCCTCCTCTCTTTTACTCAAAGTTACATTTAATTCCACTTAATTTATATTTAAAACAGTTCACTTTTTCCCACGATGTAAATTCTAAAACATAGTAAGTACTGAAATGAGTTTACAAGCTATTCACTTGTGAATAACTTTACTATCTTGATTTATTCCTCTCAATTTAAAACAAACAAGATATTATTGCTGAAATTATAGAATGACATCCATTTGTTTCACAACACATTGATCATAATCTGCAATAAACGCGTCCACATTAGGACTGCATAACCAGATACAGTGTATCATGCAGTACAAAACTAAGCTAACTGACTACAGCCAATATTAACCACCACTAAATTCAATGGTAAAAATCCTAGTTTAATAACCCTATCGTGTCTAAAGTATCTGCTACTTTAGTGCCCTCAGGGCCCCACACATGTACACTCAAATGACAACTACAACAATTTTAACTTTTATATGCATAGGCTACATATAATAGGACAACCTAGATATCTTCATCAATAGAGAACCCTGATTTGATATTTGTAATGCATCTCTTATGGTAAGAATTCTTTATGGCTTCTCAGATGAGCTCAATCAAAGGGAATGTCATACAGTACCTGGCTCATAATTCCCAGCATTTCAGAGACAAGGGTGGAGATTCTTGCCGACTTTTTCGCCACAGAATGCAAAGAAACTCTTTGCATCTTGCTCTGCAGTGACTGATCAGATTCAAACCGATATTTGTTAACTGCAACATAATTAATCGTGATCAAATGTATTGAATGGCTACTAAATAATATCGGTCTTTATATATGGCAAAGGTTCTCTCTCACAACAAACAGGATATGATGTCATTGATAACATAAGTGCTGACAAAATATTGGAAAGTTTATATCTTTATCTCCAGTATTGATAAACCAATTGACAGCTGTGTGTGTATATGCTTATATATATGTACGGTGTATATATACACAGTATATAAGCGCTGAGAAAGACAGTATATATTGTAGTTAAAAGTGTTATAATGAAGAAGCTATACTATCTGACCATGAAGTAATGGTTATCTTGAAACACACACACACACACTGACAGACAGATAAGGGCAGTAATCAGAGACACTGTCTCTGACTGGAGGAGTATTATTAGCAGACTACCACAGGGTTCAGTTCTTTTACCAGTAATATGCATCATCTATATAAACGATCTACCAGAAGGAAAAGAATTATATGAACATGTTTGAGGATGATGCTAAGATACTGGGGATGAGAGGAGATGCAGATAATTGTAATGCCCTTCAAATCGATCTAGATAGAATAAGTGCTTGGAGCATCAAGTGGCAAATGGAATTCAATGTGAAAAAAGGCCATCTTATGGCATGTGGAATCAAGAGAAAATAGACCACATGCAACTTACAAATTATGTGGGAAAGGAATTACAGAACTAATGAAGAATGAGACCAAGGGTAGAATAGAATATTCTACTAGTTTTTTGACTAATGAGTTTAAATGATTAAACTTTTGTTTTGACAAAACTCTATTCTAAATAGAGTTTTGGATAGAAAGCAGTTGCCAGAGGAAAACAAGAGAACATTGTGAGAGAAGTGTATGCATCACTTTCAACTTCAGACTTGCTTTTAATTATATGAATGGTGAAATACTAAAACTGTTCATGACTTTTGTGAGACCAAAATTAGAATATGCAGCAGTTGTATCGTGCCCAAAGCTCAAGAAGCACAAAGAAACTGGAAAAGATGCTAAGGCATGCTACAAAATGGCTTCTGGAACTGAAAAACAAGAGTTACGAGGAGAGACCAGAGGCGTTTAACATGCCATAACTAGAAGATAGAAGAAAAAGAAGTGATATGATCACCCCTTACTAAATACTAACAGGAATCGACAAAATTGACAAAGAGGAATTCCTGAAACCAGCAACATCACGAACAAGAGGACACAGATTCAAGCCAAGAAACAAAGGTGTTGAAAAATTATTAGGTAGTTTTTTTTGCAAATAGAATGGTAGATGGTTGGAACAAGCTAAGTGAAGGAGGTGGAGGCCAAAACCCTTAGTAGTTTCAAAACATTCAGAAAGGGTTCAAAACATTATATGACAGAGTGTACTGGGAAGACAGGACACCACGAGCATAGCGTAGCTATAAGAACATAGCTCTCATTCTGTAACTACACTTGGGTAATCATACAAATCTGATGCATCACATTTAAACAATAATGATATTGTGTAAGTGGATACACTTGAAGACCAAAGTAAATGAGCCTTATACTGCAAAGTCATACCTAAATCAAGTCTCTTTGTGTAATCGTTAATTTCCTTTGCAACATTTGCCATCTTGGTTTTAGCCTCCAGCAAGTCCAGGTAGTCGGGATGATCTTGTGGAGTCTCACTCACCAACCGATCCAAAAATAATGGATATCTGCCCATGTTAAAGAAAAACAAAGTGGGTTAAACAGTATAAATTACTCTGAATGTTCCAATAGTACAATATGTTTAAAAACTTGGTTAATATGAAGATAATTATCAATCACTTTATTTCACATTCATCTTAACTGAATGTGAAATAAAGTAGCAAATACTAATTTCACATTCATCATTCAAAATCTAAATTTGATTTAATTACTTTTACCCAAACTTAAATGTGTGTTTATCAACTCTGAAGTATTAGCACCTGCAACGTTTTGTTTATTTCCAAATTTCAAACAAAAAATATCCAAAGGAAGAACACTTACTTGAGAACTCTCTGCACAGGCTTAATGAGAACAGATCTCATATCCATCAACTGAATTTTATGCTGCTGTAGTTCACTCAGAACCCACTGAAGAAATGCTGTTGGCTCTGGTTCTTCTATGTACTAAATACAGGCAAAAGTTCTAACATAGGCATGAAAAGTAAAACAAAATTCTCTAACCCTCCAAATAGACAGAACACGAGAGAATTATATAAAGTCAAGCCACTGAATTATATTTGAGCAATTGATTAAACCCATCCATATAAAGATACAATAATACTGTACTGTAATATTAAATATATTTTCCATGACAGCAAGCGATAAAGTCTGTTCTCACCTTCTTCAGTAGGGGTTCAGCAGCAACATTGTGGTTCGAACAATACACTTTGTACACTTCGCAGAGTTCCTCGGCACACAAAAGAAATATACAACCCACACGCAATTCATCGTCAGTCTCGTATGCAACTTTATCCAACAATGATAAAAACTTCTTGGCCACCACTACAACCTGGGATGTGTGTAAACTTGCTTGAATCACACGGATCATAACATTTAAAGTACACATTGTATAATCCAACACCACCACCTAACAGTCAAGCATGGATATAATGAAGTTAAATTTGTGAAGGCCGTACAGGAAAACAAAACAAAACTATTTACTTTCTATTAAGAATTAGCCAAAACAATTAAAAGGAAAATTTTAGGTATATATTTTAAATATTCTTTAAAATTTCATAGTGACATCCTAATAATAATTTTTTTAAGATGATATCCCTGGAAGACGACATTTTCTCTAAGTTTACTCATAATAAAAGGGTAAGGGGAAAAAGAATCAAAGAGCTATTGTAAAATCTCAAGAGAGGCAAAGCTCAGGCACAATGTCATGGAGGGGGGCCGTCTAGCTTTTAAGGTTTATAATCCAAATAAACCTGGTAAGTATGGAGTAAAGCTGTACATGCTAGCTGAATCGTATACTAGTTACATCTATGGTTCTGAAATGTATGCAGGAATTGGGAACACAACAATTCAAACGGTTATCGGTTTGATTGAACCACTGAAGAACAAAGGTTACCATTTATATATGGATAGCTACTATAACTCGGTTCAACTTAATGGAAAGCTGCTTGAACAAGGTGTATACTCCTGTGGTACTTTCAGATTGCAGCATGGTGCACCAAAATATCTTCAGCTACAAGCAAAGGGTAAACTGCCAGTAGATAAAACTGTATTCTGACAGAAGGATAATATTTTATAGTTCTGTGGAAAGTTGTTGTTCTCCCATTTGACCTTGTATACATATATCCCTTTAGAGCATTCTTTTGTGAACAATTTGATACCAAAATGAACGACATAACACGAAAATTGAGGTGAGAAAACTGAAAGGATTATAAACATTTGAGTGCAGGTGCGCGCTCGGCCAACCTTGGGGGTGTGCTGCGGGTGGCGCTCTGGGCCAGGCAAAGTGTTAAAAGCATATCACCGACTTCTTTTTATTAAAATAATACTGGACAGGTATTTGTCATATATATAATAGAAAATGCTCTAGAAATTTGAAAGTACACACAGTACATTTACATGTTTTTATAAATGAATTTCATAGTCTTGAAAAACATCCTAGTTTTCCTGTAATATTCTCAGCTATATTCTGTAACACCCAGTTTGGCACTGGGTGTCAAGGATCTCAATTCATGCAAAAAAAAAAAAAAAAAAAAAAAAAAAAATCACCTTATATTTAGCTCATATTTATGGTATATTGATAACTCAAATTATAAACATCATTTCATATCTTTTACCCATTTCCCCATGACACTAATTATTATATTACAGTATATAATAACTTGGCATTCCTCACCTGGCTTATATTACCCATCAGTGTGTCGAGATTCACAAACTGCGATTCTTTTTGCGAGGGTGCTAAGCTAATCACTTGGATTAGTGCTTCAAGATCATGGATGTACTCGTGTTCCGTGGTGACAATCTCTCGCACTAGTTCCCGTCGATGATTTGCTCTTACCTTAGCCTGGTGAAGATAAAAATAACCACATAGCTGTATAAACAAAAATATTTAAGGCATTGTGTAACTTTCTACTCTTTCAGTCCTACGAGATCTACTAATATACATTTCAATACCATACTGATATCCATCGACAGATATTACAATCCATATTACAGCATTATGCCTGATGTCCTGTGCTGGGCAATGACTAGCGACTTTGCTCAAAATACACATCTATAATTATACACATTACTGTGAATTAATATAGTGTTAATATTCAGTATTTTTCTCTCGGGGTTACTTTGAGTGATTAAATTTACTTTTTTTTTTTGTATCTGAGATTTCTATGAATTCTTCAGTATTTTTGGTTTTGTGTGACACTCACTTGACTAATAAAGCTTTAACATACTGTTAACACGTTACAATCATTTGTCACTTGCTGTTCAGCAGTTTATGCACCTTTTCCTGCAAATCTACAATATAAATCCCTGGATATAACACTGAATATTTCAATTAAATTTAAACTAATTTAATGCTATTAGTATTATTTGATCATAACTACTTATTTATAAGGTCAACTTAGAAGGGTCAACAACAACCACCATCATTAATTCGCATTCATCATATACTTTTAACTTCCTCTACACTTACATTCCCATTTCAAAAGGATGCAAAAATTAAATAATGTCAACATACTTTTGACTCGACTTCCTTTGCAGAGGCCTCACTACTCTCAGGTGACTGTATTTCCTCAACATCCTTAGTGCCACCAGCTGCATCCTCATCCTCACACGATGCTACCGACTCAGTTTTCCCAACTCCTGTCGAGGGAGCTGTTACTTGCACGTTCGCCATTTCTGATTCTGAAACATTAAGCACATGTGAACAAATTAAACGCCTAAAAAACACTGGCTTGTGATAATGTGACAGGGAAATGAAGGCCCTCACTAACTAGCCTGCACACACGAGATAGAGAAGGGAGGGGAGCAGCCGAATGATACAGCTTAGAAACGACCTTTCCACTCGAGGTCAAAGCCTAATTTCTGGCTCTTATACCTAAATGCTTTAGGGAAGGGATAAACTTCATCTGGTGTTAGGAGATCTCGTTAGGGTCACTTTGTGTGCTTTTCTGTCAGCTCTTTCATGGCACAGCCTCAGTAATACGATGGTTAGAAAAATCTCTGCATATTCTGCCTGGCTTGGACCATGGATGCCTGAACAGCCTATGATGTGTCAGTGCTAAACTGTGCCCATGTCAACCACCTGGTGGTGGTGGTGGCAGTGGAAGGCTATCATCTGTCTCTCTCCCAAGGAGTTTGGCAATGAAGAGAATTCCAATTATTTTGGACCATGTCATTGTCCTATTTGTATTTATAATGGGTTTCATCAGTGAGGAGTTAGCTTCTCAGTTGCTCCCCTTTTCCCTGCTTTAAAGTTCTGATACACCTGTACCATGCTAATGTGGGGAAAGGGGGGGGGGAGGTTTATGTGAGGGTAGTCTGCTACTCTGCACCTGTAGTCTTGGGGGTGCTCCCTCTAGAGGCCGTTGGAGCAAGGAGTAATTAGCATAGGGTAGTTTGCTTGAGGTTTTAATCTTTCACATTTTGTGCTCCCTTACCAATTTTGGGTACTACTAGCATCTTAGGCCAAGCCCAAATTGCAGTTACTATGCATGGTGAGGTGATCCATTTAGTATCATTTTTAAGCTAAAAAATTGTACTTTATGAAGGTATTTTTAAAATGCAATAAAACCAAAATAAAATAACAAAAAGGCAAGTTAAAGTTAGCAGACATGAAAATGACACATACGGTTGTCATCGGAACGCACTGACTTTTTAAGATGGCAAGATTGTTTATGAAGACATGTCACCAGGGGGAGGGGAAGGGACGGGACGACAGAGCCTGAAAGGAATGGTATCCTTGGTGAGGGGTCCCAGGTCCAGGCTTGGGGAACAAATGACGGTGCAGTTCACCAAGAAGCGTTTCATAAAGTCAACACCCTATTCTTATCGAGCCTTGTACTGTACTCCTATTGATTACTAAATACTTCCATAGCTAACAGATAACATTCAAATTAATGAAATAATTTGTGCTAGTGAATAAGTACTCGAGCCCTAAAACAATAAAACAAATTGATTGTACCTTCCGGCGGTAATGAGTAGTATTCTTCAACCTCTTCGTAGTACATATCAAAGGCTTTTGGAGGTGGTGGTGGAGCTGGTCGCTGAGGTGCAAGAACTGGGGAGGAGCTGCCATCATTTTCTTCTAGAGAAAGCAAAAATTTACATTACAAATCATCTGAATTGGGACAACATAATTTACTATACTCACATAGTCAAAGACTAATACGAATACTAAACATATCAATTTATTTCAGCTGCAGAGTAAATTACAATACGAGCTCTTCCCTCACGAAAAAAAAAAGTTACATACTGTCTTAACTTTCCATCGTCGGGGATAGGTCCCCTTAGGTCAACTATTGACCTTTTCCCAGATTTGTATCTCCATTTTCTAATATATAACATGGTCCATATAACCTAAAATCACTATACCTGGAGAGATTATGTGTACACCATATTATTATTGTATACCACGTATACCATATTGTATACTGTACCAGGTATACCATATGTGTATTCTGGACAAATATTATCATTATAAATACAATCTATATGCATAATCATTCTCATGGCAGAGGGGGGGGGGGGGGGGCTCTTTTCTGGTTTTCATTTCATAACTAGAAAAAGATATGATTTTTTTTCTCCACAGGCAACAAAAAAGTTTTTAAATAGAATATCGTATATATAACCAATAATATACTTACCGAAGAAATGCTATGGATTTTAGTCACAAAATACAACAAAATTAATTCTGCCATTTTCTCTTACATTGGTTTTTGGTTTCTTTTTGATTTCTAATAATAAAACAAAATACTATCTTTGTTAACATTACAGTATTCAATGGTTAAGAGAATTAACAAAAAATAAAAAATTATTTTTTAAATTAAAAACCTATTGCCATGCTTGTAAAGTGATTCCAATACAGTATACTTAATTATATATGGTATATAGTAACTTTCACATGTCAAATGAACAAAATAACTTGCCATACATTAATTGTATTTAAAACATATGAAGTGTGATACAACATGAGTCAAAGTGTGAATATGGGGGAGACGGGTGTTAGATGCGGCCATTTTTTGTGGGTTTTTTAATTACTAAATGTGATCATGGTTTATTCAATTAATTGCAGACAGCTGCACTATTGGGTCAAAATGTTTGGATTGAAGGCAAGATGTTTGGTCGAACATTACAGGACATACATTCTTTTTCAGGGCAATCCAGAGACCAAATCATGCTTCTCAAGAGCAGTAAAAAAAAAATCTGAGAAAATGGGTTAAGTAAATTATTTCACAGACCAAAACATTCTTTTTTAATAATATTGTACAACAAACAAAACATATTCAACTCATCCTTTTCTATTAGTTAAAAGAAACAATATTTGTTAGAGCAAAATTAATTTTTATTTATATACAGGTACTTTATTATTTACTGTCATCTCAATATGACAGTATATAATAAAGGGCACAAAATTTAACATGCTCAACTAAAAACCATCAACACTAGTTAAAAAGAAACTAAAGTCATCTACAATCACTATCAACTTGGTACACAACTGCTCAAAAGTTCAGCTTTGTAGGGAGGAAGAGGAAACAGCCCCTTCTTGTCTGTTATTGTAGGTAGCCATCACAAGAAGATAAAACCAATGTTGAATTTATATTGCAATACTAGGTTTCAAGGGGTTAAGAGTGAGTCAACAGCCATTACAGCACTTTTGAGTGAAATAATAAATGATTACTGACCGAATCAAATTCGTACTGCAATTGTAATGGCAAATATATTAAGTGCATTTTTAATTTAATATATAATTAAGAAAATTAAGATATTAAATTTTACCCATACCTGTTGAGCAAGTTCCTTCACTACAGTTTGAAACCCGAGAAACATCATCTGGGAAAGCTGCACTATCACTTCGAACTAGAGAAGTTTTAGACGAAGCACCTTCCTGCCCTTTCTTCTGTCGACATGTTTGCAATGATGGCTTGGCTGCTAATCGAGGCTTTTGTACTCTAGCATAAATTGGTTCTTGTGAATTAGACGCAGAAGTTGATGACTTTTGAGGCTGATGAGGTGATGGGTTGCTTACTGGTACATTTGCAGCAGTTACTCCACTGACGACACTTTCTACCACTTCTTCAATTTTGGAATTAGCTGCCATCACTGTAGTTGATAGACCTGTTACAGACTTTGAGGAATCACTTCTATAAATTTTTGTTCTTGGGGGAATTGGAGGCACATTTGTAGATCTTGGAGCTGCAACCGGAGGCTGAGAAATGGTGGTGGCTGAGGCAACAGTAGATACTGGAATAGATGAGGCTGTACCTGAAGATGTGGTGTTATACGATTGCGAGACTGAAGATGACACTGTTGGAGAAACCTGAAAGGTTCCAGCCACAGTAGTATTGGCATCCGAGCGAGACATTTTCTTCAGCCTAGTTGGAAAGAGTGGCAAGGATGTGGATTTGATTGGTCCCTCTTTCAAAGCAAAATGGTCTTCATCTTCTGTACTTGCCATCTTATCTGGAAAGATACTTCCACAGCCCTTTTTATCAAGCTGCCCTACACTACCCTTTAATGTTAAAGAAGCTACATTTTTAGCTAATACAGGTTCAACATCTTGCTGTTTTATAGAACCAAAATCTTCCTTGTTATAAGATCGTCTTTTCCCAGAGGTATTAAATGGAGAGGAACTTCTTGACCGATCATGCCGTATATCTTGAACTGGAAGCCTTGATTCTCGTTCAATTCCTGCATCAGAAGAGGAGCTTATTAGAGTTTTAAGCTCTTGTGAGTCACCTGAAGCTTCCTCATCTAGTATAGACAAATAATTTTTGGGACACATACCCTTAGCACCAGTCCTGTTCTCTACAATAACCCAGTTATTGTCAACATATTTCAATATTTTGAGAATCTCCCCTTTAGTCAAAGGCATATCACCAGACATTACAGCCTGAAAATCATATTCCGCTTTAGCCTGGCCTAAATGTTTTAGTTGTAGCACTGCCTCGGATCTAGCTAAAAATAATTCCTCTTCATTGTGAAGGCAATTTACAATGATGTCAACATAAGAAGTGGGAAATATTCCTTTAGAATCTCTAACACGACCCAACGTCCAGTGTGAATCTACATGCTTCAGAAGGTGGATAATATCTCCCTTTTTGAAGGTCAACTCATTCGGATATTGAGCTCTAAAGGAAAACAATGCCCGGCCATAAGGTTCTATACCCGTGTTGTCCTCATTATAGCCAGGAGAAGACAAAGAGTTAAAATCTTGAATTAGAGAGTTATTATTAGTGGGTAATGATTTGTTTATATCATTTTCTTCCAATAGATTATTTGAAAAATAGTCTTCCACTTTCTGTGATAGCGAGTTGAGAACTCCGACATGTTCAGTTTCTTGGAGACTTGAGAAGGCACTTGGTTTCATTTCATCCTTGCACACACCCGTAGTATCTGTGATTGACTGGATATTCACATCAACAGCAGGAACTGGCTTTAAATCATAATTAAAAATGTTTTCGTATCTATGCTTCCCATCACTTGTGTATGGAGAAGCTTCATCTGCAAACTGAGATGCATCCGTAGTACTTACCGGTACTTCACTTGTGAATGGTGATATTTGGTATGATTTGTCTTTAACAACTGAAGACTCGTTAATGCTTTCGTGCCTAAATTTTAAATTTGAAAATGAAGGTGAGGCACTGGCTTGGCTTATGGTTGGGGTAATTACACATCTACTATTGGTTTTATTAGTAGATACATTTCCATTTCCAGATGAAAACACACCAGGCATGTTTACTTTAAAGTAGTCATCTTCAAAAATATCTGAATCATCTTCATTTCCTACAGTTTTCCAATAAGATGAAGTTTTGGACAGGGTTACCGGCTCGTCAAAAACTTGTCCTACCGACTCGGGAGTTGGGGCAATGGAAGTAATATTTGCATTACATGAAGAGTATTCTGTGACAGGAACATTGTAATCCACACTAGGCACAGGTGCTTCGAGGCTCGATAATGGCAGAGTGACATGTGCAGAATCCTGTCGTGTATGACCAGCACTCGCATCAGGATTATCTGATGAGGATCTACTACATACAGCTACAGGATTACTCTCATCAGGATACAGAGCAGGTGATAAAGGCACTGAACTTTCTTCAATAACATCCACAAAGCTACTTGGAAAGATTCCAGCCGTTCCATTGCTCTCTCCTCTGAAGAAGAAGAAAAAAAAAAGATAAAATAATAACGACAATAACAATTATGTATGCACTCCTAACATTATACATACTTCTCCTAATTTCCATTGCTGCCACTCAAATTCTGAATATTTCATATTCATGCCAAATTAGCATTTCAAATCCATAGATAAGAATGAGCACTACCACTCTTTCCTGCAACTTTTTGGTCACATTTCTCCCTGTCATCTTGTTGCCAGCTTGCGTTCAATTTTCCCACCAAAAAAACATCAACACTATAACAAATGACTTGCTTCATGGATGAATTGACTTTCCTTAAAAAGCAGGCTGACAGCACACCACCTTCTAGTAGCCATTTTTGCCTGGAGGGTTTTGCCCCATGGAGCACAAATTGTATGTCATTGCTATTCAAATTTTTAGTATAAATCTGTATACAATGAATACTTTGATGAAAAATCCCACTAGAAGAATGCAAAATGGCACCAAGAAAACCCAGAACATTTACAATTGCTCAAAGCAATTTGGAAAAAAAAATGTAATCTATTTTAGCTCATGTCAGGGTAAGGATAAATCACAATGGTGCAGCATATAAACATGCATTTCACTCTCTCCTCAAATAAACCAATTGACTAATGTCATCCCCCATTCCTCCTGAGATCTGATAAACAAGTGCCTAATTTCAATTTTAAACAACAGACAAAATACTAAATAATGCATAGGAAGCCTAGAAAAATTTGTAAATAAATATAAAAACCAGAGTATATTTATATGTTGTTATAAATACATTCAGAGCTGTTTGAAATACCATATATTATAAAACTGTGGTCAAAAATTTTTAATTTTATTAAATATAGTATCTAATATGATGCGTAATACAATTGAATCTCTTTCAAGTCTACTCACCATTCAGGACATCATTGTAACAAAAATGAACAACATACAGTGTGCTCTATACACCCAAAACAACCAGTATACTACCCACATAAAAATATGGAGCAATGTTAAGTTACCTGAAATAATCTTTATCCACCACATGGGTGATATTAACAATATCCCCGACATACAAGTCTAACTCGTCTGGAAGCTGAGCGCGAAGACTCATATTTACTTTCCCCTTCAGCCTGACTGGCTTTTCTCTCCTGTCTTCCTCCTAAAATAGAAACATTGGATTAACATTTATAGTTACATCTCCATAAATCGTTGATAAAACTCAAATGTGATACAGCACAGTATACAAATTATCTAAGCAAATACACTGAACAAGGCCACGGAATTTTAAGATTCAAAGATTGTCCGAGTGTTTATGAAAAGTGCATTTCTGTTGTCAATGAAAGAGTGGGTTATTAAATCCCAAGTGTTTTACATTTAATTAACCTAGGCCTACATGGCAATTATGGTCTTGAAAAATCATAAGAAAATCGTGAATAAAAATGATTTCTGGAAGTGTACTTCCAGAAATCGACCATGCATTTAATTGATGAAATGGTATCAAGGTGAAGAACTTTTATGCAAGTAGAGCATATAGTATGCATATGTAGCATATAGAGCATATGAGAAATAATGGAGTAATGTGCCGCTGATCTTATACTTATGAGAGAATATGGCAAGGTTGCTTGATATTCCCACAATTGTTCACAGTATATATATACTGTATAGATGTAAGGTCAGGGTAAGAATTCTAGAGAAGGATGTGAAATTTGTGTATAATAGAAATAAATGTAGTTTATAAAATTTGATGTATGAAGATGATGTAGTGCTTCCTACAGGCGTTGTTGTTGATGTTTAAGATTCGCTACCTGGAACAAAAAGTTCCAAGTAGCACGGGCTATGGTGAGCCCGTAGTGGACTCGATTCCTGCAGACAATAACAGGAATATATGTGAATTAGTATAACATTTTGTTGATATATGTGGTAGTAGACTGCTAAAAGTTAACATGAATGAAAGTAAAAACATGGTGAGGAGAGATAAAAAAACTTGGTACATGAAATATGGGCAAGCCTGAACAGTTAAGTCCTAGAAGTAATTAATCAGTTTAAAAACCTATGCTGTGGAATTAACAGGAAAGACATTTGTGGAGAGGTGGAGAACAAGGTCAGGGAGGAGATGTACTGGTAAAATGAGAGTATTGGTTAGAAAAATAAATAGATTGGAAGAGTCGCAAAGAGTAGCAGGCACTTACAATATGGTCATATTGAACACGAATATGAGAAACTGGTGTTGCCTAATAATAAAAACAAAGAGTTAGAGCTGAAGCAGTAAACAATCTGAGATGCATTTAATGAGTACAAAGGTCAGTAAATCAAGTGATTAAGACAACTTTAGCAAGATAATATGTCATACAGCATTAACAACATGGATGATGAACATGTGGTTAGGAGTAAACACTCTTAACAAGTCAATTTAGAGGTAAGAGGAAGAGACAAAGGCCAACAAGACAACAAACATGATAAATGTGTATAAGAAAAAGATGATATCGAATGTGAACAACACAAGAGAAGAGGAAGAAATATTGTTAGATACAATTAGTTTAAGAGAGCAAATGTTTGATATGTTTAAATGACAACTCGCAATAAGCCCTTTAAACCTGGCCATATGAAGCAGTGGTCTCCTGCCATGGATGTATTGCTGGAGTGTGACGGCTACATGATGATACATAGTGTGTTTAGCATGGAAGATATGATGAATGTATGTGGGTGTCTTTTTGGAATAGCTTTGTTCTTTTCTGTTTGATTTATTTATTTCTTCTAAGGCTGACACTTCCACACCCCATGAAAGTGGGAAATGGAATAGTGATGGTGGTGATTATATGTAAAATATACAGTAACTACAGTCAAGAAATTTACAACACTTTCCACGAGTTCTGCTCACTCCATCATAAAATGTTATCAATGTACAGTAATAGGCAGTTATCTTGAGATGATTTTGGGGCTTTAGTGTCCCCGCGGCCCGGTCCTCGACCAGGCCTCCACCCCTAGGAAGCAGCCCGTAACAGCTGACTAACTCCCAGGTACCTATTTTACTGCTAGGTAACAGAGGCATAGGGTGAAAGAAACTCGGCCCATTGTTTCTCGCCGGCGCCCGGGATAGAACCCGGGACCACAGGATCACAAGTCCAGTGTGTAATAGTCAACAAAATAAAATCCAGCCCATCAACCGTGAAGAGCTCAGTTCCCCAGGGTACTGTGCTTGCTCCAGTACTTTTTCTCATCCTCATATCGGACATAGACAAGAACACAACCTATAGCACTGTATCATCCTTTGCAGATGACACTAGGATCTTCATGAGAGTAGGCAACATAGAGGACACGGCAAACCTCCAGTCAGATGTAGATCAGGTCTTTCTATGGGCTACAGAAAATAATATGGTGTTTAACGAAGATAAGTTCCAGCTCATGCGCTATGGAAAAAATGAAAATATAAAAACGGAAACCACGTACAAAACTCAGGCAAATCATAACATAGAACGTAAAGGCAATGTAAAGGATCTGGGTGTACTCATGTCGGAAGACCTTACCTTTAAAGAACACAATAAAGTAGCCGTCACAACTGCAAGAAAAATGACAGGTTGGATAACAAGAACTTTTCACACTAGAGATGCTATACCGATGATGACACTTTCAGTAAAACACCTAAACTATTGGGACCGACTAAAGAGCCTAAATCTGTACTCCCTTGAGCGCAGGCGGGAGAGATACATAATAATTTACACGTGGAAAATATTAGAGGGGCTGGTCCCAAACCTGCACACAGAAATAACATCACATGAGACCAGAAGACATGGCAGGATGTGCAGAATACCCCCATTAAAAAGCGGAGGTGCATCAGGTACTCTGAGAGAGAATTCTATCAACATCAGAGGCCCGAGACTGTTCAACTCGCTTCCGCTACACATAAGGGGCATAACTGGCAATCCCCTCACAGTGTTCAAGAGAGAACTGGATAAGCACCTCCAAAGGATACCTGATCAACCAGGCTGTGACTCATATGTCAGGCTGCGAGCAGCCGCGTCCAACAGCCTGGTTGATCAGTCCAGCAACCAGGAGGCCTGGTCGACGACCGGGCCGCGGGGACGCTAAGCCCCGGAAGCACCTCAAGGTAACCTCAAGGTAGGTAAGGTGCTGTCCGCTCGGCCGACCGGCTCCAGTCAAGCACCACTCTACAGAATAGTTATACTGTAATTACAGTACCTTGTTGAAATCTCTTTAAGAGCATCCAGGGGTGCAAGGTTTGTTAGTTTAACAAGGCTTAGGAAATCACAGCTTGTAAATAATGAAAGGTAACTTTTAGTAGCTGCTGCTTACCTCAATGATGTCCTTGTTGATTCTCCATACAAAGTTAAGAGGAAATATGCCTTTTTTCCCATTGATCTCTCCACACCACCATGATTCATCAATGGGGTTTAAGCCAATCACAAAGCAGCCTGAGGAAAATTACAATATTTATGACTCTTTAAAAGAATTTTGCAAACCATATAATTACTTATGGAGTACAATAATGAATTTATCCAAAAATAATATCAAATATTTGTGGTACAGCTCTTTTTTTTTTTTTTTTTTTTTACTTTTTTAGAAATAGTACTGTACTAATCTGAATACATGCATAGAGACTTTTAGGCATAAACACATGCACACACACACACACACACACTTACAAAGAGTGCTGGGTAGACGGGACACCACGAGCGTAGCTCTCATTCTTTCTGTAACTACACTTAGGTAATAATTACACACACACACACACACATGAATACAGTAAAGTGTATGCATGGATACACACACACTTAACCAAAATACCTCTAACTAAGCCAAGATCCCCAGGCTGAGCTGGCATGAACTCTGCTGATGCAACAAACAGTGGGAGATGTGATGGATGAGGGGGTACCTCAGTCTTGACCAGGATGCTAGAAGGAACGCGACCCACTGAACCACCACCCTCAGCCTCCAGCCAGTGTCTATCCACCACAGAATGTACCTAGCATGAAAAGAAAGCTCGTCATTAAATATGGATCTGTCCATTGTTGAAATCAAGCAGATAGTCAAACTACCTTCTTGTACTGTAAAAAAAAAACAATAATCTGTTTATGTTAGAACATTGCAACCTCACCTAGGCCCCAATTGCTCGTACAGTATTGCAAATTAAACAGACTAAACCTTATAACAATTTAATCTTGTACCTGGACAATATCATTTTTGAAGACTGTTATCTCATCTTGTAACATCCCTGTGAAGTCTCAGATACATCGGCACACATCTTCATCTTGCTTGAATCATGTACTTGCAACTGGCTGGTCTCATGCTGCAACTGGTTTGCTGACTGCAGAGAAACTCAACATAACTAGATAATTTATCTAAACTCTGGTGTATCCTAATGACAATCTAATAAAAATAGCATATCTATATTATTTTAACCTTATATTAAGAAAGACATTATCCATTTTTTAAGAACTTTGTGTCAGTTAAACAAAACTGCCAAAGTAAACAAATTTAATCTTATTACACTATAAAGCATCATAATGAATGGTATAAAATATTAATATAAAAATGCCACTTGATAAAAAGATACAATCAGTATACTTAAATTATATTAAGTATCCGAACTTATGTAGGCTACTGTCACACACTACCCTATAATTCACTATAGGTTACCTACCATGCACTACCAGTGTCATTTTATGCTGGAATTTGTTACAACGACACCTGAAGCAAGTACTAAATGTACCTTAAGTAACAACTTCCTCAAAAATTTTGGATATCAATAACATTAAAAGAATATAGCTGTTGTGGAGGTATTTAATACAGTACAGACTTTTGGTAAATCTTAATGATTAGTCACTGCCAGAACTTAGTAGGTATATTATTTGTATACTTTATAAAGCTATTAATAATGTACAGCATTTTGTTATAAGATTAAGGTTAATTTATGCAAATGCAGCTCTTCCTGAAAACCTTGTCCCTGGAAAGCAGTGTACAATAATATATTAATTAATATGGGATAGTCTTTAACTTCTTTGGACTCACTGTATATTGTGATAGATTAGAAACTGTTAAAATGGGCTACAGGTAATAATTATATACAGTATAGTATTATGCAAGGGTTTGGCTGGACTCCGACACGAGAACCGACTCCATAGTAAAATACTGTACTAGGGAGTCTTGTTCACTGTCAGTTCATTCACAACACATGCACTGTACACATACAGTACACTGTACAGCGCATGTGTGGCGCACGGCCCGTGTACAGCGCATGTGTGGCGCACGGCCCGTGTACAGCGCATGTGTGGCGCACGGCCCGTGTACAGCGCATGTGTGGCGCACGGCCCGTGTACAGCGCATGTGTGGCGCACGGATCGTGTACAGCGCATGTGTGGCGCACGGCCCGTGTACAGCGCATGTGTGGCGCACGGCCCGTGTACAGCGCATGTGTGGCGCACGGCCCGTGTACAGCGCATGTGTGGCGCACGGCCCGTGTACAGCGCATGTGTGGCGCACGGATCGTGTACAGCGCATGTGTGGCGCACGGCCCGTGTACAGCGCATGTGTTGCGCACTGTCCGTGTACAGCGCATGTGTTGCGCACTGTCCGTGTACAGCGCATGTGTTGCGCACTGGCACGTGTACAGCGCATGTGTTGCGCACTGGCACGTGTACAGCGCATGTGTTGCGCACTGGCACGTGTACAGCGCATGTGTTGCGCACTGGCACGTGTACAGCGCATGTGTTGCGCACTGGCACGTGTACAGCGCAAGTGTCGCGCACGGCACGTGTACAGCGCAAGTGTCGCGCACGGCACGTGTACAGCGCAAGTGTCGCGCACGGCACGTGTACAGCGCAAGTGTCGCGCACGGCACGTGTACAGCGCAAGTGTCGCGCACGGCACGTGTACAGCGTAAGTGTCTGGAGATTTCTGGAGAAAGGTAAATTTTTCGGCTCGATTTCCTCCAGAATAAGCACATCTAAGTGAGGTGAGCACATGATCGCGACCGCACCGGAAACGAGAACTAGCACCTTGCATTGAGGGAAAAGACTGGAGCCTAAAAACAAAATAATGGGAAACATTTGCTCCTTTTCTCTGGCAACAATGTCGACAATTCGTCAATACTCGTCTGTAGGCTCCTTCGCACGGTTCTCTAAAACAGCAGATTACACATGAGGAATGTGCAAAAAATACCGAGTCTACCCTATATGTATCGATTACGTTAAGGTGATGTCATTACATCGTTCATTTGAGTTTCAAATGTTCGGCCAGGATGGGATGCAAACATAGTGTATAATATAGTTTATGTTTGAATTGAGATTCCCACCAAAGTTTACCACAACGAAACAAATATTGCCAATACGCCAGTATCTGTCTGAAGGCTACCTCGCATGGTTCTCTCAGACAGCAGGTTACCCGTGCGGAAAATGACAGCGACACAGAGTCTACCCTATATATATCTAATACGTTATGGTGATGTCGTTACATCGTTCATATTAGTTTCAAATGGTCCGTCAGAAAGCTCAGTCTAGCATACTCCATGTGTTGTGTTAAGAACATTTATATTGCGACATGGAATTGATAAGCTCTTTATTTTGAGGATGGGATGCTAACATAGTGTATAATATAGATATGTTAATTGAGATTCCCAACAAGTTTTCCGCAACGAGACAAATAATGCCAATACGCCAATATCCGTCAGAAGGCTCTCTCGCATGGTTCTCTCAGACAGCAGGTTACCTGTGCGGAAAATGACAGCGACACCGAGTCTACCCTATATATATCTAATACATTAAGGTGATGTCGTTACATCGTTCAAATTAGTTTCAAATGGTCGCCCAATAAGCACCCTGCTCTGAACATATAAAGAGTTGGGGGGGGTAGAAATAGCCTAAGCTACTCTATCCCTTTGAGATGTATTTATTGCTTATCTCAATAAACATACTTGAACTTGAATTGAAGAACACTTAGTAAGCCAACCAGAGGCTTAGGGCCCACGCAGGAATATCCCTCCCCGAGAAACAATTTAATAAAGCACAGTACTTCAGCTTTGCAGCTTACATGTGTATACCTCACCGATTGCAATTCAATTTTTCATGGTGTTGTATTCAGTGTATTTTGAACTTTGTATTTGAAGTCTTTAAATCTTTGCGCTGCATAAGATTTAATGAGGCATTAATGATTCAACAAATTTAACCCATTATCATGGATGAGGGAAGATTTTATTCAGTCTAAGCATTGTGATTGTGTTAAGAACATTTATATTGCGACGTGGAATTGATAAGCTCTTTATTTTGAGGATGGGATGCAAACATAGTGTATAATATAGTTTATGTTTGAATTGAGATTCCCACCAAAGTTTACCACAACGAAACAAATGTTGCCAATACGCCAGTATCCGTCTGAAGGCTCCCTCGCATGGTTCTCTCAGACAGCAGGTTACCCGTGCGGAAAATGACAGCGACACCGAGTCTACCCTATATATATCTAATACGTTAAGGTGATGTCGTTACATCGTTCAAATTAGTTTCAAATGGTCCGTCAGAAGGCTCCCTCGCATGGTTCTCTAAAACAGCAGATTACCCGTGCGGAAAATGACAGCGACACCGAGTCTACCCTATATATATCTAATACGTTAAGGTGATGTCGTAACATCGTTCAAATTAGTTTCAAATGGTCCGTCAGAAGGCTCCCTCGCATGGTTCTCTCAGACAGCAGGTTACCGGTGCGGAAAATGACAGCGACACCGAGTCTACCCTATATATATCTAATACGTTAAGGTGATGTCGTTACATCGTTCAAATTAGTTTCAAATGGTCGCCCAATAAGCACCCTGCTCTGAACATATAAAGAGAGTCTGATGTACCACACCCGATTTCTGCAGAAAGGTAAATTTTTCGGCTAGATTTTCTCCAGAATAATCACATCTAAGTGAGGTGAGCACATGATCGCGAATGCACCATAACCGAGAAACAAATTGAAACATTTGCTCCTTTTCTCTCGAAACAACGAGACACTATGTCGACAATTCGTCAATTTTCGTCTGTAGGCTCCTTCGCATGGTTCTCTAAAACAGCACATTACACATGAGGAATGTGCAAAAAACACCAAGTTTACCCTATATGTATCGAATACGTTAAGGTGATGTCATTACATCGTTCATTTGAGTTTCAAATGTTCGGCCAGGATGGGATGCAAACATAGAGTATAATATAGTTTATGTTTGAATTGAGATTCCCACCAAAGTTTACCACAACGAAACAAATGTTGCCAATACGCCAGTATCCGTCTGAAGGCTACCTCGCATGGTTCTCTCAGACAGCAGATTACCAGTGCGGAAAATGACAGCGACTCCGAGTCTACCCTATATATATCTAATACGTTAAGGTGATGTCGTTACATCGTTCAAATTAGTTTCAAATGGTCCGTCAGAAGGCTCCCTCGCATGGTTCTCTCAGACAGCAGGTTACCCGTGCGGAAAATGACAGCGACACCGAGTCTACCCTATATATATCTAATACGTTAAGGTGATGTCGTTACATCGTTCAAATTAGTTTCAAATGGTCCGTCAGAAGGCTCCCTCGCATGGTTCTCTCAGACAGCAGGTTACCCGTGCGGAAAATGACAGCGACACCGAGTCTACCCTATATCTAATACGTTAAGGTGATGTCGTTACATCGTTCAAATTAGTTTCAAATGGTCCGTCAGAAGGCTCCCTCGCATGGTTCTCTCAGACAGCAGGTTACCCGTGCGGAAAATGACAGCGACACCGAGTCTACCCTATATATATCTAATACGTTAAGGTGATGTCGTTACATCGTTCAAATTAGTTTCAAATGGCCGCCCAATAAGCACCCTGCTCTGAACATATAAAGAAAAAGTGTGATGTACCACATTCGATTTCTGGAGAAAGGTAAATTTTTCGGCTCGATTTCCTCCAGAATTAGCACATCTAAGTGAGATGAGCACATGATCGCGACCGCACCGGAAACGAGAACTAGCACCTTGCATTGAGGGAAAAGACTGGAGCCTATCTTGAGGTTATCTTGAGATGATTTCGGGGCTTTAGTGTCCCCGCGGCCCGGTCCTCGACCAGGCCTCCACCCCCTAGGAAGCAGCCCGTGACAGCTGACTAACTCCCAGGTACCTATTTACTGCTAAGTAACAGGGGGCATTCAGGGTTAAAGAAACTTTGCCCATTTGTTTCTGCCTCGTGCGGGAATCGAACCCGCGCCACAGAATTACGAGTCCTGCGCGCTATCCACCAGGTGTTGGGATCGAACTGTTGACAACCCAACACATTTAATTTAGGTTTATTCTGAATGTTTATCCTAATGCTTCGTTGTACTACAACGGGGT